TCAGTGTCAGTCGACACCGCAGAGACACAGAGGGTGGCTTGTTCAAATTCCCCGACCCAAACAGAAATCCTTTGTGTGGTCACAGGACCTCTCTAAGAGAGGATCGTGTGTGAGTATGTGACGCAAAATGGTAATCAAGAAAAGTCCGAAAACTATTTGTCCGGTTTACCTCTCCTCATTTTAGCAACTGTACTAAACTTGTAGATATATCTTTTATTGGTTTGGTGTAGGCACGGCCGTAACAGCTGATGCATCTCTTCAACAGGCAGCAGAATTAACTCACTACTCACCTCTGTCTACTTGTCTTACGTGAATGGAGATTGAGTCATGGTTTTAACATTTTACAACAGTTAATAACCCATAACAAAGACTCTTTAAAAGGTTAAAACACCACGACACAACAGTTTGTGACATTGTAACACTAATCATTGTACATTTATAAAATCGCTATCAAAACAAGAATCTCCGTCACTGAAAAAAAAAAGATGCAGGAGGAACAACAAGAGACCAGCGATGCACTAACACAACCTAAGAGGCCAAGAGAGGAGCTGTGTGCTGTTTTTCACAACTTCATTCCCAGCTGTGTTTCGGTTCTTGATCGTTTCAAGGTAATCAAAATATTATATTTTCTATCCCACGGCTATAAGCACACGTCCATAATATATCGGCCCACTCTCATCAGTGGGCATCATGCCCCAACTATAATCCTAGGACCGATCTTTAGTGCACCTGCCACTTAGCAAACGGAGACAACTCATCTTCCCCGACCAAGGGCCGGGACGATATCCTGGGAGCCCCACACATTGCAGATTTTAGGATTGGAGTTTCACCTTCAGTTAAAGGCTCGAGATCAATTTTGAGGTCCCTATCTCAGCCACCCGTGTCCGATCTCTCCTGCAGATTAAGCCCACGGAAAAAGGATCTAGTTACAGCTTCAAGATGCAACCTAGATACACATCTCTACGGACTAATGCTTGTCTAGATAGCACTTGACAGCCTTAGTACTTAGTAGCACTGAAGATGGCACCGGGCTGCAGAATAAATTACTTTTAGTTTTTCGGAAAAGCGTTTTGTTTTGAAAAATTACTGGATTCTCTCCCACTTTGTCCGCAACAACTACAACCCCCCCCCCCCCCCCCTCCGGTTCAGCAGGTTACCTTCAAGACCGTTCCGATAAATATAATCTAAAAAGGTTTGGGACCTCTGAGCTAAATGAAATGTAATACAAAAATCAGAGAATAAACAGGTTGTGAAAAGAGGAAGCAGGAGAAAAAGATATGATGCCGGGGCTCCGTGTCAACTCTGTATTCCGGGTGATTTTGCTATTGTATTTTGCTGTTAAGACACTTTTAGCCCCGAGGCTGCGGCCAAATAGCGCCTCAGTCAGGGAATCAGAGCTGCGTGTGCAGGTCTGCTGCCGTCGCTCATCAAATTTGTCGAACAGCAATTCAGTGAGTAAGTTGATGAAATAAAACGTCTACAGGCCAAGTGCTCAGCAGATTGTCCAGGAGCAAACAGAAACATTGCGAGTGCCAGATTAAGTAGCTATAACTGTTATTTTATCAGGCAAAATCAGACTGGGACATCCCCTCGAACAAATAAATCATCCGTAACGGTCCAGAGAAGCTGCACTGAAAACTCTTAATGTTTATGGCATTCATCAGGGGAATAAATGCTGATCATTTATAGTTTGTCTATTGGTAATAGCTGTTCTGTATGTGGAATCTCAGGATTACATTACATTTAGCTGACGCTTTTATCCAAAGCGACTTACAATAAGTGCATTCAACCATAGGGTACAAACTCAGAAGAGCAAGAAACAAGAAAGTGCAATTTCATCAAATAAGCCAATTTCCAATTTGCTATAGATAAGTGGCATTATAAGTACAATTTAAGTGCTACATTTTGTTAGTCTTTTAGTCGAGGTAGAGTCTGAAGAGGTGTGTCTTTAGTTTGCGGCGGAAGATGTGAAGGCTCTCTGCGGTCCTGATGTCTTCAGAAAGCTCGTTCCACCATTTCGGAGCAAGGACAGCGAAGAGTCGTGATCTAGTCGAGTGTTTTGCTCTCAGTGACGGAGGGACGAGCAGTTTTGCAGATGCAGGAGTGGAGGATGGATTTAACACAAAGCTCAAAGACATGTGATTGTACACAGAGAAGTAAAGCCGTATGAATGATTTACCTGCTGGATAGATTCCCCATTTAATGTCCAGCTAAAGCAGATTTATCTGACATGAGGGAGTATTACCAAATGAGCTGCGTTCTAAAAAACAATTAATAAAATGAAGCAAATTTTAAACAGTACTATTTGTTCATGTTTCTATGTGTAGTTGAGAACAATTTATTGAGAATTGTGTTGTGCAATGTTATCATATCATATATGAACATTTGCTTCCTGAGTGAGGGGAAGCGTAAAAAGATTAAACACCAATACATCCAATTTGTGTGGTAACTGCATTAAATTAGATTTCTTCTCACCCTTCTTCTACCACGCAGGCAAAGGTGTCATCGGCTTCATAACCATCAACAACAAGTCACAAAGTGACTGACTAAGCCTTAATGTATTTCTTAATAATGTTAGATTTAATTTTATTTTAATTTTAACGTTGTTGTCTACCTAAGAGCATTACAGAGGCAAAGGCTGCAGTGTGCAGCACTCACTGAAAGAAGGAGAGACAGACAGAAAAATAGAGTGAAAGAAGTTGGATTGTGGACTGTCACTCTTGCACCCAATGTTTCGGTATAGCGTGTCTCCATCTGCAGTTTCATTTCCTTTTGTAGCTGAAAAACGTTTCTGAAAGGTTTCAACCAAACAAAGGAAAAAAAGGCACTGAAGCTCAGATGTTAAGAACACATGTGTTAATGCAACAGGACAAATGCACCTGTCTTGCTAAAAAGCTCGTTCACCCTATAAGAATCCCTGAACTCCTATTCCTTTCCATTAACAATATAAAAAGGCTCAAGGTAAAGATGGTTTCACATAAAAAGGATAAAAGTTCAAATTTGCTCCTAAAGAGCCGGCGCTCTGTTCACATGTATCCATCATCTTTCTGCGCCTTGAAGCAGTGGAGCTGAGGGAGAAATAAGGAATGAAATAATAAAGTAATGACCGCTCAGTAGGTGTGGGACACCTTCCTTTATATTTCAGTCTTTTGTGTGAGACTACACTAACAGGTTTAACCCAACTAATCATGTGTAATAATACATGAAGTCTAAGGAAAGGGTCCAGTTCAACTGGTCCAATTAAATACCCGTGGTCCATTGTTCACATCACACCATTCTTAGCTGTACAAGTATTTCCAGTGAAATAATGCATTGTAAACACATTTATGTTTCATAAACAATATACTTTCTTTTGATGCTGACCTCGCATTTATGTGTCGCCATCTTGTTATATGCAAACAAGAAGAGGGTGGAGCATGGAGAAGAGACTAATCATCCTCCACAACCCTATTAGTTCCTTGGCTACGCCTTACTGCATCCAAAATGACATGCATCAATGCCACATCTGCCTGACGAGGACAATTCAGCAGACACACGCCAGCATTTGTGCGCAAAATAACACATATGCAAACTAATAAATACGACAAATATTGAGAGATGTAGAGCGAAAGAGAGAGAGGGGACAGAGTAAATGGAAGAAAAAATGGAAGAGGAGAAACAAATTTGTTTGAAAGGGAGATTGTTGAGAAGGTCAGAGGTGTTAACAGTCTGGGAAAGCAAAAATATATTTGCTTTTATATTGCTACACCAGAATGAAAATCTTTACCAAGCCAATTTTGAATGATTTAAAATAATCTGCAAATATTTGGTTCAAAAGAAAAAGCACTGATCTTTACTCTGAAACCACGGTAGGCGCTGAAGGCTTGGAAACCACTCCAACAACAACACATCTGTACAGTTAGAGTATATACCACATGTTCGCCATCTACGTGCATGGCATGAGCACGACTAGCTTCAGGTTTAGCACAACCCCCCTACAGTGAAATACACAAACACGTTTATCATTCATACTCCACAAACTGCAAAAAAACTATGTAAGAGCCCGAAGTGTGTATATTGTTTAAATTGGATGTTCTTATATTATAATATATAAGACATTATATTGGATATATATGTTGGCATGACGCCCCCTTTATTTTCTTGCTTATATTGACGTCATGCTTGCAGCAGGTGCACCTTAGATGGGCTGATTAGACACTAAGCACAGTTTTTCTACCGTGTGACGGAATGTGTTTTTGGTATGTTTGTTAACGCTTTTGTTGCGGAAATAAACACCAATCAAAAAGAATATAAAGATCTCCTGTCATTCGGGTCAACAAAATGGACTCAGCGTGTCTGCAGCTCAATTGCGGCTTAATAATGTTCAGGATAGTTTTCATATGCAGTGTTTTCCCTCGGTTTACAACTTCACATCGGGCAAACTGGGGGGGAGGGAGGTAAAAGCCACTCTGCTTCGCTGCTGCGAGCTACACGGCACACAGAGATACTTGGGACATATTCGCAAGTATTTCTATATGCTAAAGAGTGAGCGGAGGACGAAAGAGAGGAAGACCAAGAGCGGTGGTATCTGATTAAATGAGGGCCACAGCTCTTGACCATGTTGTGATTTGTTGTGTTTTGCCTACTATTATAACACGGGTTGACATTTTTTGTCATTTTTCCACGGCAGTTCCAGACTGACGGGAATATGTCGTACCCGCCGGTCGGCTCAACCGTTTGCCCAACTACCACCCCCACCCCCGAAGTTGCAAACCTATGGGAAACACTGTTCATGGTGTCACTTTGAGAGAGGCCGGTCTAAGGGTGCAAACCAAACAGTTTTTCCGGCAAAACAACAGTTTTACATTTAACATTAAGGATAGCATTTGAGTTTATGTACGACCGGCCTCACATAGGCCAACTGTAACAAGGAAAAGGAGGATCTCTTCCCGTATTCCACCAACCGCCATTTCCGGGAGTTGTAAATGTGACTCAAAAAAACTAAAAGAAAGCAAACTCACTCAATAGTCTAGGACGCTCCTTCTTCAACTCTTGATCCACTTGGAGCTACTCACTGGCCCGCTGCAGAGAGAGAGAGGGAGAGAGCAAAAGAGAGAATTGAGGCTTTCTCTGCTGATGTAGTCCACTCCGGCTGATACCTGATGCACTGCAGCCCAAAGGTCCCCAACCACCGGGCCGCGGATCACCACCTGGTAACGGGTCGCAGAGTGGAAAAAAACGCTGCTTTTTGAGTGTTCAACAGTGATCCAAAGACCTCTTTCTGACTGCGGGAGCTTAATCCAGGAACAAGGAACTTGCAGAGGACCTCATCAGGTTTCAACTTGAGCATTGATTTATTACGCTTTACTATCGCCTTCACCAAGTTGCAGTTTACCGCCACGTCAGTCAAAAATGTCCTCAGGTTTAGGTTTTGGGAGTTACATGGTTTTCTAATAACTTAGAAAATAATTGGTCAGAACTCAAGATATTAAATGATTATATACTGGGATACAGTCAGAATCTGTGATATCCATTTTTACATCAGGCTAACTAGCCGACTGTTAGCGGTCGGAGAAGCGGAAGCGGACCCTCAATGGCTGCTTAGGTTCTCCGCAGCACAGAAGGACTCCTGAGGCTGGAGGATTTTTTCTGACGTGGCATGACAAAGCTGCTGCATGCCTCCCTCTCATCCCTCCCCTCGTCCCTCCCCCTCATCCCTCCCCGCATCCCTCCCCTCATCCCTCCCCTCATCCCTCCCCTGTTGGAGAGTTAGACTGGAGCAGACTTTGCTTACTCTGGTTTGGTCTCAGGTTGCCAACAGGCAGGTACGAAGAGATGACTCAGAGCTTGATAGACCAGCCCCGGCCGCCCCCCCCGTTAGTTTTAGCACTGCCCACTCGGGCTCGTCCTCTCCAGGCGTGGCTCCTTAGAGTGACCGGTTTAGGGGGGGCTTTACAGGTGCTTCAGACCATCCAGGGGAATAGAAGCTGGCTAGAACTCTGCTGCCATGCAGTTGGGTGAATTATCTTCTTTTTGCAAAGTTCAGTGGATAGAGGGCTTAACATGCGCCAGGGTTGTGGTTACAGAGGGGGGTGGTGGGCAGCCATCCTGTGAAGCATGTTCTTCCAAAGGGGTTCAGGAGCACATAGAAATCTGTTTGCTGTCTGAAACACATGCTTTTGAAGCTGTTTCCAATGACACGCTGCACTGCATAAAGACTTCAGGTGTATGTATGTGTCCGTTGTCTGTGACAGTTTAGTCTTCAGCTCCTCTCGTCCTTCCCTCAGGTCCTACGTAAAGGTCCCAGTTAAAGGTCATGCCAACACGGACGTCACCGAGGCATTCATCAAGAGTGTAGGTGCTAAAGTTCACAACCAAATAATCTCCTTCTCTGAGCTGTCTCTTTAATCGCTGTGCTCTTTTACTCGTTCAGCGCTCTGCCACTTTATCACTGGTTCCCCCTCTGACACACCTCAGCGTACTAAAGGTTGAGCCAAACCAAATATTCCAAATAACAAACCACACACCACTGAATAATGTTCATTTACTCATATCGGGTTTCTGAGAAAGAGAAAATGTATCAAAACACTTTTTTGTTTCTGCTGACTCTTATTGCTATTGTATTCTGTTTCGCGATGGTGTCAGTAATATTTATTTTCCACTAAATAATTGTCTAACTGTAAAGATCTACTTTTCAACCCTGACAATCCTCCAGGCCAGAGAAAACACTTTGAAACACTTGCCTACATCCTCATACACACTAGAGACGCGAGATGGATGCGATTCCATTGCAATGCGATGAGACAGACAGGAGAGTAGATGGCCACATACATTTAGATACGTTCATAGATCAACCGTTTAAAGCTCCGAGTGGCATTTTAGAAACGCTGAAGCCCGCTTGACTCAATTTTTCTGAAAACCCCCGGCACATGGAGCTCCGCGGAGGAGAGCGGGCTGCCTCTTCAGTCACAGTCCTGCTCATCAAACGCACCTCGTTTACTTTCTCATGAATTTTTTATTCGTGCCTGAATGGCAGTGACCCTGCACTGACCCTTGGGTGGCAAGTGTCGACAGCGCTGACGTCAGGTGACTGGAGCAAGTTCAAGGAGAGCGGAGGGCCGCGACCGAGGCCTCCAGAGACGACTTTAAATGAATTCACTTCCAGACCTTCTTCGCTCAGCAGCGAGGTGAAGAGAAACACTTTCACAGTTCACACTTTTGAGCAGGTTGAAACCAAAGACCCATTCTTCAACCTAATATTCTATGCGCTGACAGAAAGGGTTTTTTATGGATGAGGTAACATCCGGCTGGAATTATCATATTGAATACAAATAACAAACAGTAAACCAGTAAACAATTACAATTTAAGCAAAATTGGTAAAAGGATTTAAAATGGTAGTGTATAATATGAACATTATATAAACTAGGGCTGTCAGAATTAACGCGTTTATGTATGCGATTAATGTGGCCAAGATTAATGCGATAAATTACTTTAACGCAGTTAACGCAATTTTATTTACTTGTGTGCCGTAAAGTTGATTCCGAAAATGATACCGGTGCTAGCTGCAGTCAGTTAGACAGGAGAGACATAACAGCAGTTGAAGCATTTTGCATTCGCAGTAAAACACACAAAAAAAATATAATCTATCGACAGCCCTAACATAAACATAAAACTTATTTAATAGATCTGAACCACTGGCACCCAATCCAGCAATTAAGTCAATAAATCCAATATTGCTGCATTGCCAAGCTAGATTTGATATTTCTTTCTGTGCCTCGTTATTGACCAGAGCTGCATTGCCTTATTAGCGAGGCTGTGGACTAAGAATTGTTATTGCCATGAATAAAGAACCAAGATATTAGTGTCAATAGTGTTTGTGTGTGTTTGGGCTTCAGGGCACAGTGTCGTAGCTTCAGGCCCCATTTATAGAGGAGTCCCTACATCTATTTGCATATTAAGCTCTATTGGTCTCCCATAATACGATTATTCTGAGCATTTAAAAACAGACATTTTTCAATGCATACAGAGTATGTTTTGAGGCAATGTTTTGTTAGTTGGGAATGAGACTCTAAAACAGACTTTGACTTATTTTGGCTGTAATTTACCAGACAACTCCAGAAAATGCATAAATAACTATGAACAAACTTCAGGAAACTGTTTTAATTTTTTGGGGGGGAAAATGAAATGCACATTTTAATGTCATTTTACTTCATAACTCAAAGCTGCTCACGAGGTCTGCTCCAAGACATCAAGAATATGGAGGTGAGTCACCAAAATGTTCAGCATCAAGTGCGTTTTTCACAATACCTTTAAGTCTTTTAATTTCGGTATCCCAGTTATGGCAAAAATATTTAGTAAACTAATCAAACCAGTGGTCAACTACGTTGAGCGGCCATAAAGGTGGTGTTTCTGCAGGCCTGGTTTCTTTCTGGGGAAGCAACTACAACTAGAGGGATCCCTAAGGTATCGCATGTTCTTAATGTGACTTTTACCGACATCTTACCTTGTCTTCTCTTTCGGGCTACAACCAACAATTTGTTGTATTGTTAGCGTTATCAGCTGTACCCGCTGTGTAAGAGTAGCTAACCACTGTTTGTTCACATGCCTTAAAAAGTCTGGCGCGGGCAGTATGGTTTGTCAATAAACCACAAAGAGGCTAAGATAACAACACACACAGAGAGAGTAACTTCCTTCTCTGCTCAGGGAGACTTTACTCCAATATATCGGTACAGAGACGACCATTTGTCCTCCCTGAAAATCTGCATGTAAAATATTATTTGGGTCTTCCTTTTGTTAAGCGATAAACGATTCAGTCGTCTTTGAAAGGCTTTTTGAAGTAGTCCTCATCTCCTTGGATGTCCAGCAAACAGCAGAAAGTTAAGTGCTTCTGTCAGAGGCAGTTTGACATTCAAGCCGGCGTCCCCTCTGTCACAAGCCCTTTAACCTTCATCTCCGCCCGGGCCGACTCATACGATGAGACAGAAACTTCAGCCCCCATTAGCTTTGTTTACGCCTTAAAACTTAACTTTCGGGCCTCATTTCCACACCAAGGATCGACTCCAACCCGGCCACTTTTGGCAGCAGGGACATTTCTCCACTGCGGATAGCGTCCCCTCGGCTCGGCTACTAATCGCGGCGCTGACATCATCTTCAACGGTCGCTGATTTCTTTCACAGGCAACCTAAGAACGGAACGTCTAGACACCCTCAGACATTCCAGTTCTACACCATAGTTTCGGGTTGGCTGAATAAATGCTTTTGCGGAGGCTATCAAGCGTAGCTTAGCTATTCAAAAACGGCGTATTTGTGCTGAATGTCCTGAGAAGAATTCTCCGAGAAATCAATGATCTGCCGTGTTTTTGTATTGGCATCTCGTTTCGAGCAACAACAAGTAGAAGTTGTTATCCAACACTCTTATTGCTGTACCATGCTGTGAAAATGTGGGATCACATGGACATGAAGTCCATATCGTAGATAGTCTTATCCTGAGAGAGAAGGAAACTACCCGGCGACAAGCTGCTCTCAGGCACCATGCTTACTTTCAACTTAACAAGACCACATGAGGAGATCCATCTCAGTCTACATCCAGGTGAACTTCTGTGAACTCTTGCTGGGAAGCCCACTCGGAGCGAAGATGACACTCACCAGTCGAACTGACCTCGTCCTGTGAAACAAACTAACGATACACGGCTGTCAGACAGGAACACAGGACCTCGATGAAAAGTTCTTCACCCCCAAGCCTGATCACATGGTCACGTCTTAGCGGCACGAGCAAAAGATACAAATGCCCCATGATGATGAATAGAATGAGGCTGCCATGTAAGATATCTCAATACTACTGTTTATTATCCATTACTTCAGCTAAATAAAAATTCCAACATGGCACTAAACATATTTTCATCAAATTATTTCAAACGACTTAAAAAACATTCCTGAATCCGCATATTTCCTTCCTTCCTACAATGAAAACTATGGTTTCCTCTTGGTGACAAGCGTCCCCCATATGGAGCACTGCTGAGCCAGAACCAACTGAAAGCAGTACTCGTCACAAACAAATATATAAATACCTCGTTCAAAACGTT